TTTTTGAACAACCATTCGCTCACTTCGGTGAGTGAGAATCAAGAAAAAAAAAAGAAGAAAATTAATGGTTGGGGGGGGGGGGCGGTGAAAAAAAAGAAAGCTGTTACACCTCGCACAAATCTAAAAATATAGCATAAAAATGAAAGAAGAGCAAAGATTTACTTAATTTCTTGGGAAACGTCCAAGTTCTTTCATTGGCGAAGCTTTCAAACGGTAAAAGTAGCCGAAAAAACCGGTTTGTGTCCAAACATTGCCGACCGAAAGAGTCGAGGAACAAGGAGTGTCTCATAAATTCCTTCATTAATAGGTGCGTTCACCCATTTAACATAAGAGGCATCTTAACATATTCTCGATTTCGCTTCTTTTTTGTTTTTTCTTTTTTCTTTTTCTTTTCTTTTCTTTTTTTTTTTTTTTTTTTTTTTTTTTTTTTTTTTTGTTTCTTTATTGTTTTGTTCGTTAGAAGAAAGCAGCAGCGGTTTGAATTGGAAGACGATTCTGCTCGATATGCCGAGTCGCGTAATATCAAGATGAATTATCTATTTTAAACGTGACATTCGCATTAGCAATTATTGCCGTTAATGAGTAATTCGCTAAATTTCAATGCTCGAGTTGTATGCATAAAACGCTCCTAGATAGTTCTTATGTAGACGACGACGACTACGACGACGACGACGACGACGACTATGCTCGATAATCATTATTTCTCTTTAAGAGTATCACGATGTTTGCGAGGAGGCCCCAATTGATAAACGCTGAGCCGCAAGTTTGACCGCGAACGGCGCCCCAACCTTCTGCCTCCAACACTCTTATAATTTTCTCGAAATGGTAAAAGTTAATGTGATTATGACGTGGTCGATCATTTCAGCATGATGTAAGTATTCGATTGGCGATCACCATTGAATCGGATTATGGCCGTTTGGTAGATATTTTGTTTTTGGCTCGGTTGGAGGACTCGTGGTCCTACCCTTATTCACGGTTGTTTAAAAATCATCTATTGGATCCGCAAGCTGTGACGCCTTCCAGCATCGCATGGACATTTACTTGCGACTATTACGAGAGTTGAGAGGATCTTATGCGATTAACATTCTGAGATCATTCGATCGGTTTAGCGGTGTAAAGTCTTCGTAAAGTCGATCTTCTCGAGCATAAATACCTTGGGCGAATCATTATTAATGTACGAGTAATAATCGTGACGGATCGGAACAGTATGGTGGCGGATGTGAACGATCCGCTCAATGCAATTTACGCGATGACGGACAAGATGATTGTTTTTAAAACGGAAATATCATTGAAAACAGTGGCAAAGCTTATAAATGTCTCAAAAATATATCAGAAACCGGTGTACAACCTTTTCGTCCATATCGTTCACAGCCTAGATGGTTGCGCTTCTTGGACCAAAGAGCCGATTGAGAAAGACATAGACGAGTGGCTCGATCAAGACTTTGTAAAATCATCGTGACGTGGGAGGTTCGCGAAATTGTATTAACGCTTAAAATCCCAACGATTGAAGCTCGCGTTTAAGCTTTTAAATGCCTCGGATCGAGGGATGGAATTCCCGCCAATCAGTTGCTCCAAATCCGGAAATTTTTCTATTGGAATCCTTGCGATGATTATTGTGAAAACGAGATGTAAAAATGAAATTTATCGCAATTATCTCCAATTTTCAATTGTCAATTCTCTTTAGTCGACGTGCACTCGGCACATCTCGTCGTTGATAATTCACATTGATAATCGATGGCACTGATTTGCTGATTTATTATGTAATACTAATTATCGACAAAATTTGGTAGTGATTGATATTTTTCGTTTGGCACTATCCTTAAGTTTTCGGGATTTTCGCGTGTATTATGAAGAAATAAATTACAAGTAAGGTATTTAAAGGGTTATGTGCATTTAAAAGAATTGTTCGAACATCATTTATTTTGACAAAAGACTTTTTTTTTACAACATTTTGGAAATATTCTTTCAAAGTTCAAAATAAAATTAAGACTTTTTTTCGAGGAGAATTTTGTGCACTCTGTCGCAAGGGTAAAATTTCTTACCTCTTAGGAAACAGTTTTTTCTTTTGTTTTTCATTGTCCTTTATTTATAAAACCTCCGTGATTCTCCCGAAGTAGATAATATACTTAACTGTCTGAAGAATGGAAAAACAAATTTTATTTACCGAGCTCTCGGATTCGCTTATCGACCAACATTCATTTAAGACTGCGTATTATATATAAAAAGAAAGTGACAAAATATCCTTTAAAGTATTTGCATATGTGTAAATGTCAAATCTTTTGATTAAATAATTTTCACGAGTTTCATTTACATATTAAAAAAAAAAAAAAAAAAAAAAAAAAAAAATAAAAAAAAAAATATAAAAAAAAATCTTCCACCTCTGGCTGCTGCACATAACCTCTTAAACTTTTTGTTATACATCAAAATAATGTTTTCCTTTTATTAAAAATCAAAATATATTATAAAATTTATTAGTTAATTCATAATTTAATATTGACATGAAACCTAAAATACTATGTGTGTATATATATATATATATATATATATATATATATATATGTCTGTGTGTGTGTGTAAAAAAAAAAAAAAAAAAAGTTTCTAAAATATCTTATAGTTGTATTATTAATAATATGAAAAAAGTTAAAAGAATCAATGCCGTATGATTATCTTCATTCACATTAATTCAGGATAATTTGAAGTTTCACGAGCATACACACGCACACCTACTATTACCGATCTTTCACACAATAAATCATGTTTTCGATAAATATCGATCGAGTGCTCTTTCGTAAACGTTGCTATGAAAATTTTTTTTCTTCTCTTTCTTCCTTTTTCTTCAAATTTTAGTAAAATATTTCTACGTAAATATTTTATCGATACAAAAGTTATTTAACGATGGGAAATTAATTCTTCCAGTGCACATCATTGATTAAATAATAAATTAGTAATTCCCTTCGCAAATGTAACATTCAGTAAAAAATACAATGACATTTTATGGTAATATTTAATAGAAATATGATAGCGAGTAACCGGATTCAATATATAAAAGCACAAAAAAGATTATCTACTGAAATAAATAAATGCTCTTTCGATTAAAAAATATCATTGTCCTTGAACGAGCATTTTCGCGTTTTCATTAAAATTCCAAATCACTTGCCGTCGACAAAATTAAGACATTGTTGCTCGGATATTCTTCGTTTTCTCAAATCCCTTAATAACATAAAAAAATATATTAATTCCTCCTACGTAAAAAAAGTCGTCGTGTATAAGTGCGCCCCATAGCGTTACATATTCTGTCTGATGAATAAATTTAAATGTTTAATATTTTACATGATATTGTACGTGCCGTGTGCCGAAATGGAAACACGTTCGTAACATTCATTATTACAACCTAAAATAATTTATCATAATTCGCGTAATCATGTCAGTATGATTTTAATCGACACACCAAGCAAGCACATTATAATGAAAATGTGTAGAAGTGGCTGGGATAATTGTTCTTATTCTTGCCGATTTGATACTTAAACGGTATTGGCACGATAATGCTGAAATAGACGTATTGAAATGCGATAAACGTAATGATCATACCGCGGCTAAAAGGACAATGATAATGATCATTTATGGAAATGCAGCTGCTGATTTCAAAATTCCCGTCATTTACAACGCGTGTTTGTCCGCATTCTTTACCGTTCATTGAGGTTAGCATATTGCGGTGGAATGAGGGAGGGAGGGAGGGAGGTAATGTATATATATATATATATATATATATATATATATATATATAAATATTAGAATAGAAATGCAAATGAATAAGTGAAGCAATTTAGTCACGTTAAACTACTACTATTCAAAATTACAAACTCGATGGTTTGAAGAGAAGAATGCTTTGATTAATGAGTCTAGAATTTTGTAATAAATTCCACTTGTTGATTAAAGGTCATTTGCTCCACGTGAAATTGTCATCGGTTCGTCAGTTAAAATCATAAAATTATTTTAACGCGACGTAACACACGCCACACGAATGAAGATCCTTTGATATTTTAATGCTTATCTGGCAATTAATGAGCGCATTATGTACTAATTAGATTTAATCTTCTCGCCTCATTACCGAAATAACCGAGTTCGAAAAGCCAATTGAGGTCATCGCATTAACAAGAGTAAACTATTTGAAGTCAACTATAGAAAATTAATATGTACAGAGTGCGTTACACTTAGCCGACGACGAAAGTGGAATAAGTCATTAAGCATGATATATGGCAATATAATATTTAGAGCAATTTAAACTCCAATAGAATAAAGTCACCAATCTATTAAGAGAAAAATAATCATGATGACCTACTAATTGTATATGGTACTTAATGTCGCTCGTTTTATAATATCGATATAGAAAGAGAGAAAACAAAAAAAAAAAAAAAAAATGTAAAAATTATATTACGGGTTCGAGAAATCTAAGTTTAAACAATTGAATTTTAATTAAAAATGTACGACTACAGATTTTCAAAAAATGTTTAATCCACGATGCGATTCTCGTTATACGTTATACAAGCACACACAGACTTACTACACAAGCATTTTAATCGACACAACACATATTCAATGCGCTATTATGTCAATTTTTTTTCTCGTCTACTCTCTCTCTCTCTCACTCTTTCTCTCGTACAATTTAACTTTATATATAAATATATGGCCACTTTTACACATTCATAGCAATCTACACATTTTTTTATTTTCGCCGCTCGGCCAATTTCTCCAATATTGCCGTCGACTATATTTTGATATATAACATAAAAATTAAGGAAAGTAAAAGAGATTTTGAAACCTCTCGAATCACTGTGTCCTCTCCCACATTTTGACAACTGTATTTAATTATTTTCTTTCCTATCTTTTTTTTTTATTTATTTATTTATTATTATTTGTAGAAAATTGAACGAAGTTATGGTGTAAGCTGAAGGTTGGTTGTCTTCTCCTTTTTTTTTTGTTTTGTTTTTGTCCCCCCCCCCCCCCAATATGCACGAAAAATCGGCAAGTCTTTGCTTATCATATTCTGCATAAAACTCGATTCACGCGACAGGCTACAATTATACATTTATGCAATTTGCGCGCATATAAAGGCTTTCGGTTAATTAGTTTTTTTTTCATTTTTAAATTAGTTATTTCTTTTTTCTTTATCCGCCTGTGTTTGATACCAAACTGACCGCTTTTGGATCTTTGGCTGTATTATGCAGCTTAGAGATGCTTTAGAAGAGGCCCTTCTTTTTGTATTTCTTGTCCTTGCCGTCGACCGCTCTGAAAGAGGAAACATTCAAAGTATAAAATATAAAAAAAAAATAAAATAAAAAAAAAATATGCCGATGTAATTGGCAATTGGCACTTCAAAAAATTATTGGCTCATTCTGGATAAGCCTATATACACCAACATATTATGTTAATATTATTTTCAACTTCAATACTCATGCTTTCGGAACACTATAAAGAATTCTCTGAACAAAACAATTTACTGTCAAGAAATTGTAAAAGGGCGCGGCACGATAAATTTCAACACGATAAGCTCATTATTTATGTAAGCGACAAGTAATTACAATTTGTACAATTAATTCATTGATATCACCATGGATTCTCCTTTTAAATTATTAAATTTATTCAATAATCTTTCTTCCACAAACTTTCTACACTCTAAAGAAAAAACAACTATGAAAAAAAAAAAAAAAAAAAAAAAAAAAAAAAAAAACAATAATACGAATTAGGCTTCGTTAATCGAGTGAAAATCAATGGTGTACTCGATCGACACGAAAAAAGGCATATTTATAGTTTTATATAGTAGCCATAACAATTAAAAAAAGGAAAACTTTATTTATTTACTTCACTTATCTTAATTCAAGCTGTTCTTTTAAACGAATTAATATAACTGAGTTATCATTTGAGAAATCAAAGGACGGACGATCAGCACTGTTTGCATGTGTCATCTATTAGTGTATTTTACATGCTCAAGTGGAGAAATTTTGCGAATCTGCGAAGACTTACCGCCTTAGATGGCAGCACATGATGCTACAAGAGTGGGAAATGATTTATTAAAAATTTTCATTTACTCGGCAGTGCGGAGACTAATGTTAAGTGTTAATCGCAATCGTTCATATATTCATAAAAACGATAAAACGATGCAATATGTGCAAGACTCTATCTAATCGTATAAAACAATTGCTAATAAAAAATATCGGTATATGCGGGAGATCCTTAGCAGTGTGATAATGTATTCTAATTTTTTTTTTTATTTTTTTTTTTATTTTTTCATTGGAATCGACCTCGCGATTATTTTCAACGTCGTTGTTATTTACCGCGTTTGTATTATTGTAAATTGTAAATAAACGAAAAATAACGTAGGATAAAATGTTTTAAAATATTGACTTTGTACACGTTTGGGTTTCATTGATATTGCAATGGTAATTTATCCTCAACATTTGTATTATTAATAATACCTCGGTATCGCTCGACAATCGTAATGAAATCATTAAGGGAAGTTTTCACTTTAACAGACATTGCAATACGCGTGAAATTTTCACAAATTTTCACCTCCACAGACCGCTACTTACATTATTAAATAGATAATGATTAATAAAATAAATCAACAAACAAATAGTATATTCTAATATACATGTGCTAGCATCTACTAACCAATTTTATCTACATTGCTACGATAGGAATGATTGGTGAATATAATAACCGTCTTCTTAAACTTTCATTAGCATATCTTACAAGAGCATGGCGATCGAAATGGAATTATGTTGAAATTATACTTTAATGTACAATTTCATATAATTTTATTGAGCTAAAATTACAATAAATAAAGAACAATCGATACGCTATTAACATACTATAGATACACCCAATATACAAGAATCTAACTACCAATAAAGCCCACCTTTACCAAATAGTTACAGCAGCTCCTTGAAGTACGAATGCATGAGATGTAATGATTATACAAATAATTAAATGTAGTAAAATACAGCCCACATAAATTATGTTGTACACACATACTCTGCATTAACATCGTGAATTAGAAACAACGCACGTTCGTTTATGGACCACATGGATATTGAAAATTAAATTATATGATCATTGTTTGAAAATAAAACAAATGTTGTAAAGAAAGAAAGAAAAAAAAATAAGAAAAAAAAAGAAAAAAGGCATGAAACCTAGTCGCATCATTTCTGTAAATATATGTTGCATAAATAATACATAGGAGCCTTTTGTTTTTGTTTTTGTTTTTGTTTTAATAAACCGTGAGAGAAAAAAAACATGCCAACACATCTGAATGGACATAGTGAAACATGCTTTAAGAAAAATGTACATCTTTTGTTCACGGAACCAGGACCAACAAGCCACATGCCAGCCGCAGAACAACACTGTAAGTAAATGATATATTTATCTCTATTTTTTTTTTTTTTTTTTTTTTTTTTTTTTTTTTTTTTTTTTTTACATCACTTAAAATACTTTCTAAGAAATTTCATGATGGTGTTACATTTCTTCCATGTTTTTTTATTCTTTTTTATTATTATTATTATGTTTATTTATTTGTTTTTCTTTATTATTATTATTATTATTATTATTATTATTATTATTATATTTTTTGATTTGTTTTGTACAAAAGACAAGCGTAATTTGGAAAAGCTCTCATTGACGATTTCCGTTGCTGAAAAAAAAACCTTGAGTAAGCTTTGAGGAGAGCGATGCATGAATAGCGATATAACAAAATAGAAAAAAAAAATATATATATATATATATATATATATATATGGTTAGTAAGTTTTATCGTAAGAAAGCATTACATTTATTTGCAAAAAAGATTGTTTTTACTTATAATGGAAATTAACAACTATGATTGAACATCATCCATTAATTAAGTGTTAATGAGTATATTTACTCTTCAATTTTTCTTTCTCTCTCGAGTCCCGCCTAGCTACCCGCTTGATGACCGTTAATGACAATTAAAAACATCTATCGAATAATGTAGAGCTTTCGGTAAAAATTTCAAGAGGATAGCTTGCACGGAGTTTACAAGAAGTACAAATGTGTGCGTGTGTGTCATCTTAATATATTTATTTATTTATATTAAATTTAAGTATCCTAGAGGTCTAATAATTTAATTCATACGTTAAATCGCATCGCATACAAACACACGAATAAACTCACGTTATAGGCTTAATTAGATCTTGACTATAATACTGTTCCTCATAATATCGGGAGCTCCTTCTCCTCTTATCTTTTTTTTAATATTCGTCTTTCTTTTTCACTACTCTTTGTGCGCGATGAAGCTCCAATTACATCGTCGTATTAAAAAATATGACAAAATACTTTCTGCATCTTGAAACCATAGTTATTTCTTTATATGAACTCGTAATGATTTTTCTTACACAAAAATTGTCCGAACGATAGTCGATATAAGTCATTTGGTAAATCATGGGGAAGATTAGTAGTGATACACACGCACATTTTTTGAGAGAAGACGACGCAGCGAATTTTTTCATCTTATTTATACATACATACATGCATGCATACATACATACATACATACATACATACATACATACATACATATATATATATATATATATATATATATATATACACACACACATATATTAATATTATTTTTTAATTAATACATTGCAAATTCTATGTTAGCTTGTATAACAAGGTTTTTCAGGAAGCTTATTGAAAGGATATGAAAGTTAGCTTCAAAAGTATGTAGAAAATAAAATATTCTATTTTTAATTTACGCTATTCAAAAAATATATTTAACTTTTCTTGTCTCTTAATATACATACACTGGACGAATTGCGATTATAGAATTTTGTATTTTCATTAAGGAAAACTTGTAATTTGATGATGTAAAGCAAGCTCGGTGCGTCTAATCGGACTTTTACACAAAAATTTATTTCTAGTTATCGAACTGATTAAAATTTATTCAGTTCCGATCTTCTCTAACTTTCACATCCCATGTAATACAATGTCAAAAGCGAATGTAATGTATCATGGCGACTTTTATTATTACTATTCATGATATGACGTCATTTTACAAAAATTAGAAGACAAAGAGTAATTTGACGAATAAAAAAATAATCCTTATGCGTACATGGCGTTAATACTAAATTAACATAAAGTATTTCTTATACAAAACGGAAGGTGCCATAGACAATGACTTTAATGATCTTGGCGGGGGAAAAAAAAAAAATATATATATATATATAAATATAAAATAAACGAATTGCAAAAAAAAATGATCTGTTGTCGTCGCGTCCATCTAATTAAAAAACATTAGTAATCGTTTGACAATTTTTGATCGCCCTTTTAAAACTCTCATATAGCTTTACAATTAAGTAATGAAAAATAAATTATCTATTTTATTAGTGCCTACCCTGCGTAATTTAAAATCAGTTTACCAATACGTTATTTTATCTTCAAAAATACAATGCAAAAAATTGTCAACGATACACTCCCAATTGGTATTTCCTCTTCGCTCTATCACTGTTTAATGCATCGATTTTATTCAACATTTTTTCAAACGTTTTGAGAAATAAAAAATAAAAATTATTATAATCGAAGATTAAAGAAACATAAAGAAAACACAAGTGAAAAAAATTCCTTTCGACTTTCAAATCATCGAGTCCTCGTATTTGAATATACTTCGTTATATCTCTCCCTCGCATACGTACGTACGTACGCACGCACGCACGCACGCACGCACGCACGCACACGCACACACGCACACGCACACGCACACGCACAAAAACAAACACACACACCCTCCCTCTGTCTCTATCGCTTCTTTCTTAATTCTGCTTAATCGTTCCTACTAAGGGTGCTCGGGATGCTGTATGACAAGCTGCTGAATCGGCATGGGATTCTCCTGTGGTGATTTGAAACTGGTGTGTCGGCGCAGAAGGTTCCCTATGCCACGAGCACCCCGCAATGTACCCCCGCCACCGCCGGAGCCCTCGGACGACACGGATCCCGTCCTAAATCAGGGACACCCCGATATTTGTTTCGTATGCACACAACAATCAGACGGACAGTGAGTAGAAGTAGGAAAGATTTATTTAAGAGAAGAGACGCAAGCGTTACGTCACATTACTTCACATATATCACTAAGCTCATTCAACAAACATCTCAAATACTCTAAAAGCTATATTCTGTTGATTTTTTTTTTTTTTTTTTTTTTTTTTTTTTTTTTTTAATTTCTCATTCAAGGCTATACAGCTGGATTTACTTTATTTACTATATTTACAGATTAATTTGGCTGACTTTTCTACGGATGAGAAGAATTTCATTATAATTTCTAGGTATTATCGACATTGTATGCTTTACATAATTGACAACGATACATTGTCCAGACAATCAATATTCATTAAAGCAAATGGTATAATTGTGATTAATCGTACCGAATTAATAGATATAAAATCACTATGTTACTCTTATGAAAAATTAACTTTTCCTTTAACATTTACAATAACAATACTTATCATAATTAATTCATTATAAATTTACAATAAAAAACAGCGATAACCCATTAAAAGTACTCTGTATCGTCGTAATTCAACAACCTGATCGAATAATTTATTTAAATATTAATTGAATTTATAATTAATTTTTCCTATCGTTTTTGTTTCTTTTTGACAGCCAAAAATCTTTTTATTAAATATCAATATTTATTTTTCAATAAAATTAAATGCTTAAAAAGGAATATTGTACATGCTCGTTCGTTTATAATATCATACATACATAATGAAAAAATTAATTTATACTATTACTTAAAAAATTAATAATACAAGTATAATAGCAGTATTTATAATAGTTTTTAACTGACATTAAGCATTACAATTATATTCTAATATATACAAAATATTTTAAAAATACATTTCTACGCAGCGTTCATAAAAAATATAATAAAAACAAAAATAGAAGGTAAAAAGTTAAACTGAATAGCCATCACAGATGTACAACCTTAAGTAAAAAAAAAAAAAAAAAAAAAAAAAAAAAAAAAAAAAGTTAACAATAGCCTCTACTTTAAGCAGTATAAATATTAAGAAGTTAACACTTATTACTCGTTATTCTGAAATCAATTGTTTTGGTAAGAAGGAGCTACTCTACACACAATCACAAAATACATTTTTTAATAATACAGAAACAGTTGCTGCATGCTTTTGTAAAAAAAAAAAAAAAAAAAAAAAAAAAAGAGGAAAAAAAAGAAAGAGGAAAAAAAAGAAAGAAAGAAGAAATAAAAATGGAAGTACTATGTTTCTTCGAATTACTCGTCAAATTATAATAAAGTACAGCTAGTTAAATTTGAGTCTCAACGAGATCTTTGAAAATCATAAAATTATTATGGTAATTAACAAAGGGAAATATATATTAAAAAAAAAAAAAAAAAAAAAAAAAAAAAAAAAATTATGAAAATAAACAATTTAATGAGATTTTGTTGTAGTATCATTTAAACAAACAAACAAACAAACAAACAAACAAGCAGGCAAGCAGGCAAGCAAGCAAGCAAGCAAATAAACAAACAAGCAAATAAAAGTATGAATTGAAGCTGCGTAAAAAAAAATTGCGCTATACATAATGAAGCATGAACAGTCATTATTACAAAAATTAAAAGGATAAGCTAATAATGTTTACTTGAAGTCACCTATAATAATACAAGTCTACGACGGCAATTGCGCTCTAATAGATCTAGTTTATTAATTATTAGTAATTTCCTTTAATTAAAACAGTCTGTACCTCTCTTCTATTGAAAGTTATAAGTAATAAGTAGTTAAATCAATTGCTTGAAAGAGCCACGAAAAGAAAAATGTCTTTATATAAAGATCGACTTAGTTGTACATACAAAGTGTAAATTATCTTTCTGAAGTATTAAAGGTAGAATTGGAGGGAAACTTAGACCGCGGAGATATGAAAGACTATCACCAATAGAAAGGAAAGTACCTCTTGATTCTAAATTAAAAACAAAATAATTAGAAAAAATATCGACTTACTCTTTTGAATTTGCTTCGAGACTTCGTCGACGCAATTCCTCAATACTGTGCCCAGTTTGTTGCTCCCAAGCTGACCTATCCGACTCGAACGCCCGCCTCTTTTCCTCGAGCTCCTTTGCTTGTTGTTCCAAAGACCGTCGCATCTGATCGTTTCTTCGCTGAAGCTATCGACAACAGATTGATCATTGCATTAACAATTGTACGAATCCCCTAACTCTTAGATACCGTGATAATAAATTAATTTAACGGCAACTTTTATTACGTGTATAGCTCATGTTTACGAGCTCAGGGAACTAATGATACAATTAATGATAAATATACGCTTTATGTATGCAATCGATGACAAATCTTAGGATAAATCGATGCTTATGTACGCGTAAAATTCATTAAATATAGATTATGAATTTACGAATTTTTAGACAGAATGATTTTCATAAGAAAGTCAATTGAAAGTTTTATTGAGTATTATGATTCTACAAAATCGAGATAAGAATTTAAACTTCATAATTAAATAAATTTATCTTCGTTTTTTTTTTTTTTTTTTTTTTCATATATTTTTCTTGTTCTTTTCATTTATTCATGATGTTTTTACAAATGGAAGCTTAAAAAAATTAAGGGAAATTAAATGATTAAATATTTGTTTGAATGTCAACCAAACACATGTTTGTTTAAATAAAGATAGAGTATATTTTAATTAAATTTATGTGAATTTTAGTTTCATCGTTTTAGATAAATAAATAATTTTAGGAAATGGACATAAGATATATATATATATATATATATATATATATATATATAATGATTATGATATGTCATAATATATTGATAAATTTGATTTGAGCAGATAAATATGATAATAAACAAAAACTTTGTATTGAAAAATTTGTCATAGATTAAGTTCCATTATTTAATACTTAAGAGATTTTATATAATTCAAAATATTTATATCCAAGTGCTCACAATTACACAAATTTTATAAAAACGACTTACATCTGTCTCTAAATCTTTGAGTTTTTGTTTTTTCTCTCGAACTTTCATTTCAAATACTTGCTCCATTTCAATTTCCATTTTTTTCATTTTATTATCGTGCTCCCTCTTTTCCTCTTCCAGTTGTGCCAATGGATTCCTATCGGAACAAAAAAGTATTATTATAACAATTACACAAATTTTCATTTTTTTTTTTTTTTTTTTTTTTTTTTTTTTTTTGTACAAATCATTCTTAATAATGTTTACATTGAAAACAAGTGATTTTATAGTTTTTTAAAGCATTGTTGTTCTAGAAAGCCGCAAATGAATGGTGCAGAAATGTAACAAAACGTAAAAGCTACTTAATACGCAAATATTCTGAGAAATAATAAACAAATATTAAAGCCTTTCCTAAGAAAATGCTTTCGTGCTTTCCAATTATTCTTCAGCATCAAGATGAAATATTTTTTTAAATAATTCGATACTATGCTAATAATCGTGCAGATTCTAAAAACATGTAAGAGATTCATTAAGGCAAAAATCACAAGAAACAAATAAATTGCCAATGAAAACTTTTAATTTACGTTTATTAAACATCGATCAGTGGGAATTCTTATAGACTACGTAAGATTCATCTAATACTATTAATGCATAAATACAAGACTTGTGCACACAAAACTGTATTACAGGGTTTTAGTGTTAAATAACTTACCACACCATCATGAAACTGTTCATCACTCCAGGAGGGCACAAACTGACCAATGTGAAATATCGATTAGAATCTCATTAGCTTAAATTAGCATTTAATAGCAAGTTAATAGGTGTAACCAAAAATAATTATTATTCCTTCATGAAAATTGCGAGTAATTATAAAAGAAAGCTAGGATGTATAGTCAAAACTTTTTCCTTTGATCAGTTTGCATGCACAAGCTTTTCCTCCTGCTTTATTTCTTTCAATTTCACAATTTGTTGTTATTGTTTGTTTGTTTGTTTGTTTGTTTGTTTGTTGGTTTGTTTTTGTTTTTTTTTTTTTTTGTAACTTTTATATGATTACATTCATATGATTTTTTTTTGTTTTGTTTTTTTCGTATTAAGAATGATCATTAATTTCAGTCTAAATGAAATTATCATGATATTATCTACTGTTATGCTGTGCGAACACAAAAACAATAAATATCGAAAATGTCTTTATACTGATATTCTTAACGATTCGACTGGTGTTACTTCTATTTTGCTCTAAATGATATGCAAAAAAATTGCAATGTCATCCTTTATGTATAAAAAAATATAAAGGTATACTCACTTATTGGATACTCTTGTGGGTTTTCCGTCAACGCTAAGCCCAGCCAGGGTACGACATCGAAAGTTTTCATAGTGAACGTTATTCGTAACATCTTTCAAATCTTGCAAATGTGTGCGAATAATCATGTTCCGTAAAGCAATAAAATCATTGTGTTCCAAATTTTCGACTATAACAAACAATATAATACATTGTAAGCGAAGTACTCTCTTATAATTTTATAATTAACGATGTTGTTTATAGTATCAATTTTTAATGAATTATTTAACGCATAATATTCTACAAAATACATCTTTGCAAACTATGATACAAGTTACGTTCTTTATTGCTTCAATTGGCCACGAACATTATAAAATCTAATATTAATTAACCACTAACAGCAATAGTTGCTTCACAATTAATGAACAAGATAATATTTCTTCCGTAATCGATTCGTCGCGTCAACGAAGTTTAAAAGATCTTTCAGTTAACAATAATCTATAATATACGTGTAAAACAATCGTTAATAAATATTTTTCTGTTTCATTGAAAATTTTAAATCTTTTCCATCATATTTTATTGGCAATGTTGTTGATAACAAGCTTTAAGATTTCATTCAATTTTCATTTAAGATTATTCAATTTATTATATATTCTATTCTATAGTATATATTCCATTATTATAAGTCATATAGTCAGTTAATTGTATAGTATGAATCTTATTTACGTAATAATAAATAAGAAACAAAATTTAAACATTATACCATATTACTTCATATTAAAACCTCTGCTTGTGTAACTAATATTTTCAAAAGTGTTAGTAAAAAGTTCAAAAGAAAAAACGTCACGATTCGATCCGTATGAGCACAAGAGTCACACAATAGATAAATAATTATTGTTAGATGATTAATTAAAGTAGGCTTTCTCGAATAGTTATAATTCAAATCATCTTGATAATAATAATGAAATACAAACCTTCTACTACTCCCCAAGGATACTTTCTACCTCGTACTTTTTTCCCATCGTACTCAATAACTGTGTTCGCACCAACAATTGCAAAAGGAACTCTGTCCCTTAGGATTTTGTGCATTTTATTTTCTTCATCGTCCTCTGCTTCCGGGAATTCGTATATTTTTATTTTGTGCTGAGCTATTTCATTTAATATCTGAAAATAAAATATTCATAAATAAACTCTGTTTATTATTCGCTAATCCTATTATTGCTTACTACGAATATTATGTGTTGATATTATTATTATTATTATTCGTTACAATATTGTATTACAATTTAAAAAAAAAAAAAAAAAAAAAAAAAAAAAAAAAAAAAAAAAAATTCTAATTCACTTTTTACATTTGAGATTTTATTTATTATATAAATTACTTAATGTTCTTCTAATTTTGAGATGAGTGAAAATCCGATTTTGTGGCTTTATCATTGAAATATTACGTTTCGCTTTTTAATTACAAATTTTTTTTTCAATAAATATTATCATGTGGTAAGTTTATATTATTGTTTTGATATTAATTTTGTTTTTAAATTGCAATACAATATTGTAACGAAACAGGAATAGGTAATGTAATTTATAAAACTACATCTAACAAATATTCCAATAATTCTGTAGACTATCAAATAAAGATAATATTAATTAATTATTCTCCATTTAAGTGGCACGCGTCTTTAAAATAATCCTATAACCGTTCATTTTGATTAATGAAAATTAATGAAATTTTTCTTCACGCAATATTATTATGCTAATATTTATTATATTATTAAAACATTTCGTACCACTTGTGTATTGGTATTTTTTCCTTTTATAATTACGAGCTATTGAGAAAATTCTATTAGAACGTTTTCTCCTCAAACTATCAAATGTGATACTGTGGTCAGCTGGCGACCCAAAACAGATATTACAACTTCCGAGAATTAAAATAATATGCCGTTTAAGAATATAAAATAAATGTGATGTCATCGTATAAAAATAGAATTTTATCCAGAATTAATCGTGTATCGAGCGATAGTAATAATAATAATTATCGCGAATGATAAATTGGTCGAATGTAATGGATTGCGTAAGAGAAAAATACTTCATTTTGCGCGAGTCTTATCTTGCGTTTTTAAAGGCGATGGTTTATAGATTTCTATCTTTCTTTCTTTTTTTTTTTTTTTTTATTTTTTTTTATTATTTTTTTTTTTTTATTTTGTCGAAATTTTCGAAAACACAATTCACCATTTACTTCAAAGAAAGCAAATCAATAGTTGAAAAAAATAATATGCAAGAGATTACGAAATACCAAATGACAAGCATAATAATGCGCGCTCCATAAAAATCTACTGATTAAAACGTCAAAATGATAATGCAGACAAATTTTATCCCAATAATCTTATCCAACGAATTTCGGGTTTTTTTTTTTTTTTTTTTTTTTTTTTTTTAGTTAATGTAAAATTGAAAGCGGCACAAAGCCATCGTCAACCTTTACGGTTGACAATCACAAAATCACAAAATCAAACACAAAACTATTTCATGCAGAACTCGCGAGAATAAGGGGCTGAGAATGGAAAAAAGAAGCCAAATTTCTTTTGAATAGCAGCACAACTATTTCTAGAGGAAACCATATATTCGTTATTATATAATAAGAGATATATAATGAGAGACGCGCGAACCTGCACTAAACGATATTTATAAATGTACCGAGTATTCTCTAATGTGGTTTGATTAAAGACAGGCCATAAACGACAGACGAGGGGAACGCCATTAAAGCTCAAAAGGTTCGGCGGGCCTCGGAAGGGCTGGTTGCTGCTGCTTCAACTCGCATCAACTCGGTACGTACTTGCTTCTTAAAATAGACACACTCGTCAGGTGTCATGGTGTCAGCTTTAGCAATCACGGGGATGATGTTGACTTTGTCGTGGAGCCGCTGCATGAACTCGACGTCGAGGGGCTTGAGTCCGTGGCCCGAGGGCGCAACGAAGTACAAGCAACAATGGACGCGGCTGTCGGGTATCTGGCGTCTTACCACCCGCGACTCCGCGTTCAGGAACTCCTCGTACTTGCTCTCGATGTAGTGGATCACGGGCTGCCAGCTGCAAAGGAAGCGGGGCGATTTAGCTCCGGAGAAGACGAAGGGACAGGGGAATCGGTTGTCATTACTCGGTTATGTAGTCGGGCACGCAGGCGGATCAGCGTTAGGGCGGATATTTTAATAACGATGTCTCTTTTTGCTTTATGCTACGAATCGTTAAGTAAAAAAGGATCGAACGGCTGAGCTCTGTCTGCCAGATTGCGGTTTAATTTCCGATTTTGTTCGGCCGGGAGCGGAATATTAATTACAATTTTGCGAGTCCTAGGCGCGTATGGGAACTCACCCCAGCGGAATGTAATATACAATTTCAATTGCAATTTGATTCGAAAGCAAGATAAAGCAAATTTAAAACGTATCCAATTTTGAATTAATGATAATCGAGGCGCTTCGAGGCGAGAGTCTCTCGTCTTATTGGATCGTGCCAAGAAGCGAAAGTTCCGATTTAATTGTGAGAGAGATAGAGATAGAGAGAGAGAGAGAGAGAGAGAGAGAGAGAGAGATAGAGAGAGAGAGAGAGATGAGGCGCATCATGGGGAGATAACGATAAGCAATGCCGAGCTTTTTTTTTTCCACGCGTTGACCATATTCGTCGATCATATCTCCGAGAACTCCGAGACTTGCGAGGGTTCGAAAGCTTTCTTTGGTTCGTCTCTAAAGACACACGCCGACTATGCTCTTCTCGCAATCGGCAGTCGGGCTCTACCGTTACAAAAGATAAAATTGATCGGGAAAGGAGAAAGGGGTAGACGTAGGTGTGAAGGCGAAAGGGAGAGCGAAGAGTGGATCGAAAGTCTAAGGATTCATTAATTGACCCTTGCGACAATGGGGCTACTCACCAATTGCTATTGTCCACAGCGTCACCGAACCCGGGTGTGTCGACGATGGTGAGAGTGAGATTCACCCCGTTCTCTTTCAACAGCACTTTGCTCGTCTCCACGGCAACGGTCTTCTGCATCCTCAGACTGGGGCCCGGATGCTCCGCGCTGTAGATGTCCGTGAGGAACAGCGAATTTATCATGGTGGATTTTCCGAGACCCGACTCACCTATGAAAATTCACGAATGTCAAGTCTTTGTTCTCTCGCGCATATCACCGGCAAAAAGTCCATTTACAATTGCCTCATAACGCACTCGATTGAGAAAATTAATTTCTTCGACGTTAAATATTAATATACATATATATATATATATATATATATATTGTTAAGTGAAGATTAAAGGAGGGAGAGAAGAGACTGATTATTATTTCGTAATATATTGTCAAAACGATTCATTTACTTTCCAAATGTTCCATTTGCGGGACAGAAAATAAGTACTTGTCACTTATCATATTTACCGATAATTTTATAAGCAATACAGAAATTATTATTTTATCCAACAGATCGATTATTGTTTATATCGTTAGAAGTAAAAAACAAAAGAAAAGAGGAAGAAAAAAAGCGCATCGAAAAATATTTCACTCTATCTTAAGTGTATTTGTAGCCTGAAACGAAGGAAAAATTTATACTTCATTTAATTAAATAAATTCTTATGTATAAAGAGAAGAAAAGTATGTTGTATTGATCGTAATTAAGTGCAAGACTTTTCGTAAGACTTTTTTGGCATATGACTTTGGGCGAATTTACATTTTCATAATAGGTTTTATTTTTTCAACAAATTGTAAAATTCATATTCATGATAAAATTATTTACAGAAATTACTCTTCGAGAATAGAATAGAAAAACAATTTCCAAGCTACGACAACAATAGGGTAAGAGAGTGCAGAATCTCAATAACGATAATAATTTTGGAACGATAAATTGTGCTACTTTTTCTTATAATATTACCGTTATGTTGAAAGCATATTTGAAATTATTTAAGATTCTTCGCATACTTTGAATATATATATATATATATATATATATACACATTATTTCAATATGTTCTTACGCTTTATAACTGATAAATAATGTAAAAAATCAATTGGTAAGAAGTTTCGATTGACTATTGTAAGAAATAATAAATGCACATTAATAGCAAATTTAAATAATACCGAATATTAAAAATTAACTAAAACTCGATTTAGTATATACCATAATACATCATAAAACCCGATATAGAAAATATTCGGGCCAACTATCTCTTATTAGCAATGGATTACGATTGATTTGATCAAAAAAAAAAAAAAAAAAAAAAAAAAAAAAAAAAAAAAAAAAAAAACAAAAAAAAAAAAACCCA